CTAACTCTCTATCCCTCTCCCTTCCTCTTTGAAAAATCAATAAAATATTTTATGTATGATGTGAAATAATGGTCAAGGCTCATTGTTTTCTTTAAGAATATCCATTGTCCTAATACTGTTTGTTGAAAAACTATCATCTCCCATTGATGTACTAATACACGTAAAAATCTAAGTTTTTACTTCTCTAGGATGAATATCCAGGACACACACGCACACACACACACACACACATTTTTTTAAAGATAATTTTCATAAGTTTATTTGAGCCAAACTGGGAACACTGCTGGGAAGCAAGCTCTCAACTGCTTCCCATATTTTCATGACCACATTTTATCTCCACTACTGGCTTATAAACTGATTGAAGGAATTTTCTTTTTTCCAGATACTGTTTTTCTTTTTTTTTATGTGTAGCATTTCCATTTTCCTGTGTTTATAGTTTTCCTATTGCTTCTGAAATTCTCCTTTTCATGTTTATTTTTTCTACTACATCCTTTAACATATTACTCACAACTTTATAAAAATTCCTTGTGTAATAGTTCTACAATCTGGGTCATTTCTTCAATTGGCATTATTGATTGTCTTATCTTTTTAAAAATCTCATAAATTCTATTTTAAAATTTTATAAATTCTATTTAATGCTAGAAATCATATCTAGAAGAACAGGACTGACTGAGATAAATGATGCTTACACCCAGAAATGAGCATGCCTCTCTTCCTGCCAGGGTGATAGTATGGGAGCACTAAGACAATCTGGACAGTATTGAGTTGTATTTAGGTTCTCCTATAACATTTATCTTCAGTACACCAAAAATTTTGAATTTCCCTATTTTGTGATAGTATGAACCCAGGGTTTTTCTAAGTGTTTCAGCTGTATTCTTAGCTTTCATCAGTCCTTCATGTCTACACTATAAATAGGTGTCTCTCTCCCCAAGTAGATTGACCTTGATGATTTCTCAGTGTTAAGTTAATGGTAGGGGACAGAGAATCTCTTGGGTTTCCTGGTAACAAACCGATATAATAAAAGGCTAATATGCAAATAGACTGAATGGTGGAATGACCGGTCGCTATGACACACACTGATCACTTGGGGGTAGATGCTCAATACAGGAACTGCCCCCTGGTAGTCAGTGCGCTCCCACTGGGGGAGCACCGCTCAGCCAGAAACCAGGTTCATGGCTGGCGAGTGCAGCGGCAGTGGAGGGAGCTTCTCCTGCCTCCACAGCAGTGCTAAGGACCCCTCGGGGGATGTCTGACTGCCGGCTTAGGCCCGCTCCCTGGTCCCGGACTGTGAGGGGGTGTAGGCTGGGCTGAGTGATGGCCTCTCAGTGTACAAATGTGCATCGGGCCTCTAGTTCATTATAAAGCAACTCTGCTCCAGCTGAATCTCAGAGATGGGACTTCCCTGCTATTTCTATCCCTTTCCCCTGTGGCAACTAATCTATACCTCATAACTCTGAGTGCTCCAGGGCAGGAAAGATGTTCTCGCCCCTTCTGCAGTAACATCTCTGCCAAGTGCAAGGTCTTGATTTCAACAGGGTTTCCTGCCCAATCTACAGTGGTAGACAGCTGTTGTTCCTACCCAGCCCCCAGAAGCAGCTGATCCTGGACTGGGTTTTGGAGGCTGGGAGAGGGGGTTTGCCTCTCCCACAATGGCTTAAGGCTTTTGCTTAATATGAGAAAAGAGTCCTGGAAATAAGCATGGGATTATGCTTATACTCCACCAACGGGATGCTCTCTGACCTCCTGGTCAGCACCGGGGAGAGGCCAGTAGAAGTAAAGTTTGTGTGTGCAGGTGGACTGCCCATGCCAGGACCCCCAACATTTTGAAATGTCATGACAATCCATGCTCAGCCTTTATAATTTTGTTAAATTTTGGCTTTCTTCTTATCCACTTTTATGGAAGCTACCTTCTTCCTAACTCAATCTGCCAAAGGAAAGAATTTTATATGTCTCATTTCTCAACAAACAAGGAAAAGGAGGACATATTCTCAATCTAAGAAAGGGCATCTATGAAAAACATAATGATAACAAGTAATAAAGTATAATTAACAGAGAAAGACCGAATGCTTTCTACCTAAGATTGGCAACAGGCAAAGCTGTTCAATCCTATCACTTCTATTAAAAATTATATTGTGTGCCTTTAGTGCAACAGGCAAGGCAAAGAAAAGACATATGGATTACTGGGAAAGGACAGAAGTATCTCTATGTGTAGACAAAATGACACTCTATGTAGAAATTTGCAAAGAATTTACAAAAAAGCATAGGAACTAATAAATGGAAAGGTCAATATACAAAAATCA